TTGTTTAGAGGTGGTTTGGAAATTCAAAATTTTATGGGGTGTAAGAAGAAAAAGAGGGGTGCAGGAAGAGATATCCAATTTACTCTGCTAACTAGAAATCCAAGATATTCAGGAAATAGCCCGTTTAGAGAAAGCATCGGAGGACAGTTTCTTCCTGCACCTCCGTAATTTTCTTTCCACACCGTCATAAAATCTTTTTTTTCATTTTTTTTAAATTATACAATATAAAAGTCATTTTTTTAATTATATAATCTGAAAGTCACCAAATTATATAATCTAGAAGTCACTTGTTTGTTGATAATGAAATAACTTTTGGATGGCATAATTCGAAAATCAGTTTTAAAATTTGAATTGTGTAATTTGATTATTATTAACTTTTGAGCAGTATAATCCGGATGTTGAAAAATAAATTTCAAATTGTAAAGACAAAAATAAAAAATTATGAAAACACACACAAAAAGAAAATTACGAAGGTGGAAAAACAAAACTGTCTCATTGGAGACTGGGCTAACATGAGTTCCCCCCGTCCAACTCTCTCTCTTAAGTCAGAAAGAAATAACCAGCTTATTAATAATAAAAAAACTAAAAATAAGTAATTGTGCAACTAATTCAAAAATACTCCATGGCTAGAACAAGGACACCAGAGTGAATCTTTGTTTATGAAATTCTATTATATGTTAGTGACCATAACTAAACCATTAATTTGTAGCAACTGAGTTATTTTGTTCGTATTACACTTTGGTCAGTTATATAGTGTTTTTTAATCCGCAATAATATATATTTGTATTGATATAAATAATATAAATCCATATAATAAAAATAAAAAGTTAGAACTCTAGAAAAATATAATTACAATTTACTTTCTACAAGAAAATAAGTTTAACAACATGGATCGTAACCTAAACACTACCGATAATATAACCTTGTAGCATAAAAAGCAGCTTGTACATGTTTTATAAACCTTGTTGCTTTTGAAGACATGTGTTAGGGTTTCTATCGCAAAGAGAAAAGAAGTACTCCTTGATTTCATGTCCAATAATAAGACTTAATTTCTTATGATCAAAGATTTATTTTGAAATCCACACATTCCTATTAAGTTGTTCCGTTGTACGTGAGCTTCATCCCACACATCCATGTTTTGATTTGACTGAGCTTCCACGAGTTGTTACCTTCATTCAGGAATTGTCACTTCCATTTCATTGAAAGAGTTAATATCGTTAATCTCTCATCTCGTTTTTTGACATCAATACTTTTCCAGTTTATGGAATAGATCTTTTACAATCTTCCTTTCTTCCCAACAGTTCTATAGTTAATAGAAATTGCAGCTCATTCTCTTAAATGAAGTCTAAATAAAGTCAACATGTGTGATGAAAAAAATAAGATGAATAATTTGGAAAAGGATTAATAATTCATGGAATTGATTACCATAATTTACTTTTATTATATTAAACTTGATTTTTTTTTAATTTAAAAAATTACCAAAGAATAAACTTTATTTTTTCTATCAGAATTCATGATGACCATCTAAATGACCTGTTTCATCATTACTAAGTAACCTTTAATGTCCATTAACTTCCTCATTGATGTTGATTTTAATTTTCACTATATGCATAATTATTTTTCACCATGAGAAGAGTGATTCACCTTTTTTATCTTCCTATATGAACATTAAATTATTTAATTAAAAAGTAATAAAACTACAAGAAAATTTAAAATTATATTATTCCTTAAGGATAAATTATTTTCCTATATATTTCTTATAAGGTAAATGTAATACTCAAATAAATATTATTGATTTTCCATTGTAGAAATAAAATCCCGGAAAATATTGACTGATTCATACCAAATAATATATTATTGAGACATTTCATAAAAAAACTCTTCCTCATAATTAGAAGAACAATAATATATAAACTCATGAAAAAAAATTATTATTATTATTTTCTCTTTATGAGGGGAATTGAGTTATAAGAGTTAATATTTTTTTCCCACAAAGAATAGAATATGAAAACTATCCCTGTGTTTTTTCGTCAATACTTGTTTGTGTATGCTCCAAAATCACATTATTTTGGAAAAAGAAATAAAGAGTTTGAAACTTTGATTTTGTTGTGGAGTTTTCTCTTAAAGAGATAACAATCACTACAAGAAATTTTTTAAATAATGAAAAATTTTAGTGGCTAAAAATAATTAGTCATTATAATGATCAATTTATATATTAATTTATAAATTAAAAGTTATTGGTAAATAGAATATTTTCTCTTTCGGTTGAATTTGTTCGAGAGTCGATCGTCTTTTTTTGCTCTGTCTTCTTTTGATCATCCAATCCTTTCTTCAAGTCAGATATCTTTTTCAAAGAGACTTTTATTTTATTAGGATAGATCAATGTTATTTTACCTGAACATCAATCGTATATTTACAGGGCTGTGGCAGTCAAATATATTGATTAACCATTAACACAATATATTTTTAGGCAATCAAATAATCAATTATTAGTACCTATATTTGTAACCTGACCTATTAGTATCTACTAATATATTTGGTAACTGCCCATAAATGACCATTAACTCTGATGGGTATATTTCATATAGTACATTTTCTATTATGAATAAAAAGTTATAATTGTTTCTAAATTGATAACTAAAATAGTTTATATTATGAATTAGTCATTAATACTAGTTGCCAAGGTTTTGACTACCAAATAAATTGGTCTCTAAATTGACCTTTAATTAGAAAACTAATATTTAAATTGCTCACTAAACATATTTTTGGCTACTTAAATTAGTCATTATTTAGTGATGAGTCCATCTTCGAGCTAGAACTCCATGCGTATGAAATCGAGGAATCCTTGGAAGTACGAAGGCACGAAAGCAAGTAAAAAGATAAGAGATAGTTTGGTGATGGTGATTTGGTGTAACTTGCAAGTGAGGTTAAGCCAACACTTAAGGAAGGAGGTTAGAGAAAGTCACTAAGGAGAACTGTAGCCTAGGTTAACTTACAAAAGGAGAGTAATTGGGAGTCATCAGAATAACTCTATTATATTCATGAATAATTTCACATAGTTTAGATTCCTCTATTTTATAGGAGAAAAGGAGTTAAAAAATGAGATGGAAATGTGATCTAGAAAATTGAATTTTAAGCCAAAAAGAGTGCATGCAAGCACCCAAGCAAATCACATATTCTTTGTCAAGTGATACCTAAGGAGAAGCTTGGTCTCCACAAGTTTGACATCAATAGGTAAAAAAACCCTAATTCTATGTGTCAGACTCGTGGCCCAATTTAAGCTTATTTCTTGGTCCAAAAACACTTTGACAGTTGCTCCCTGCACCACCACCGAACACTCCGTGCACCACCCTATAACTATTTTGCCCTTGCTCTAAAACGGATGTCAACATCCGTTTTACCTTCAACGGATATTGACATCCGTGAACGGATGTTAACATCCGTTTACATATTTTATATTTTGGTTTATTGTTTTTATTAAAAAAAAATCCTTCAATGGATGTAGTCACATCCGTTAACCACATCCGTTTTAATAAATTTTTTAAAAATATTTTGATTATTATTTAAATAATAATACATAAATTAAATAATAATTATTATTTTATTAAATAAAATAAAATAAAATTAATTTATAAATAATTAAGTAATAATTTTAAAAAATTTAAATAATATTTATATATTAATTTAAAATATAACAAATTAAAAAACTAAAAACTAAAAAAAAACTACAACGGATGTGGCACATCCGTTTTAATAAATGTTTTAAAAATATTTTGATTATTATTTAAATAATAATACATAAATTAAATTAATAATAATTATTTTATTAAATAAAATAAAATTAATTTATAAATAATTAAGTAATAATTTTAGAAAAAATAAATAATATTTATATATTAATTTAAAATATAATAAATTAGAAAACAAAAAACTAAAAAAAAACTGCAACGGATGTTGCCACATCCGTTTTAATAAAATTTTTAAAAATATTTTAATTATTATTTAAATAATAATACGTAAATTAAATTAATAATAATTATTTTATTAAATTAAATTAAATTAATTAGTAAATAATTATTTAATAATTTTAAAAAAATTAAATAGTACTTATATATTAATTTAAAATACAATAAATTAAAATTCTAAAAACTAAAAAAAAAAGAAAAAAACTCAATGGATGTTGCACATCGGTTGAAGAATTTTTTCTTCAATGAATGTCGACATCTGTTTAAGAAAAAAGGTGGAGGTGTAGGATATTTTAAAATATGAAAGATAGTTTCGGAATTTAAAAAAAATGTGGTGGTGCAAAAAGTAACGTGGGTGGTATAACACCTTTTATCTACAAGTCCATTATAGCCCAACGAAAATTCTATATTAATGGATTCATAATACAAATTCCAAAGTTAAATACTAGTATAATATTTACAAATACAAATATGGAGTTTTAGGTTAGGTTTTCACATTCTCCTTAGTCCCATGAACTTTAGCTTTGGTGTCTCATGTTGAGAGGAGGTTTAGTTTTTTTGTATTCTTCTAGTCATAGCTTTGGTTGTAGGTCCTTGACTAGAAGCATGTCATCATTTAGAAATTTTCTTTGTAGTGAATCATGAGTTTTTTTTGTTGTATTTTCATTTAAATTCTTGATTCATAACTTATGGATAAGAAAACAAATTTAAATAGGAAGGGAGTTATATGAATCAATTACATGTTTCAACACTACGCTAGATAAGATGTGTTCCATAAAATATGTTGAATAACTGGCCAGTTGTCTTTTATATAATATCATTGTACCTATGTATTTGACTAGTATTATTTTATCGTGGCAAGTCAGTGGCCAAAAATCTTGGTTCGTACAACTTGAATAAATGTCATTGTAGTATAATTTTGACGATTTAAATTTAGTTAAAGAATGATCATATTACATAAGTTTAAATTTAGAGGGGTATAAATATACCATTAGTCTACTTACAATTATAATAGTACTCCGATAAAAATTATTATGTGGAAGTCGAAACTAATAGAACGGCTTTATAAAGTAGAAAAGCAAATTGATCACAGGACCATCTACAGATATCTGGGAAGGTACAAATGTCTTTGCTGATCTTTATGGTCATCACACATGATTGCAGAAATAAAACAAACGCTGAAATGCTAGTAATAGATGTTGGCAATCTCTTGAAGGTAAGAGAAAAGCTGTTGTGGTTTAGATAACATGGGCATGTGATCAGCTCCAGAAATCACTTTGACCTCATTAGGAGGGTTTCTTTCAATGATTGACAGTTGAAAATCCTGCTCTATTAAATTGTCTTCTTCACACACTATATAGACTCTGACCACAGTTCCATGGTTCTCTTCTGTGAGTTGTATATTTTCTCGCAAATCTTCATCACTGAAGATGGGAAAGGGTCTCACTAGTGACAACGCCAGGGTGAAGTCCTGGTCATTTACACATGCCATCCAACGCCAGGGTTATATAATTTTTCCAGAGACTATAATTCCTGATAATAATATGAAAACAGCTTGAAAAGACATATACCTCGGGTGGAGATAGCTGGTAAAAGTTGGATGCTAATCTTTGAGGATCGGGTGTTACATATCGCTTCTCATCACTGTTGGAATTTTCATCAGACACAGTCTTGTAGTCGAAATTGGATTTCAAGCTTAACCTGTGCTTGAACTATAGAAAGTTAAATTAAATTGAGTTATAACATTAGGAAGTAAATTTGGAGTCTAAGTCAATTTTATAAAATAACAAATTTTGTTAGAATATATTAAATAATGAATTTTAAACCTATCTTAATTCTATAAAATTAATTATAAATTATTATTTGTATTTTCATAATCTGATATCAAAAAGATAGAAATCCTATCATAATTGCGATATTGCGATATTATGTTAAGAAATATAATTTAAACTTAATTCAACTTTATAAAATAAAATCTATATTCCTATTTTTATCTCTACCCATATACGAACGAATATCATCATATTAGAGAGAGAAGAATAGGTGTTACCTCTTGTAATAGTGTGAGATAGCTAAGGTTGGGACCAGGCATCCAGGCGGTAACGAAAACCGCAACTGCAATTTTGAGAGGGAAGAACTCCATGGCTAGAGAAATGCATAAGCCTCCAAAACTATGACCGACAAGGATGACTCGTTCCTCTGGTGGTAAAGATCTTAGAAATTGGAACAAAGGTTCAACATATTGTGAAACTGAAGTGATATCGAGCACCTGCGTTGGATGGATGCCGGAAGAAGCCATGTCGAGACACGTGACTTGGAGTCCGGCGGAATTAAGAAGAGCATAGAGCTTATACCAACACCATGCTCCATGCTGGGCTCCGTGAACCAACACCAGACGCCTCTTCTTTCCCTCCATCTCTTTCACCTCACAACTTCAATCCTTTACGTCTCTGTTACATACATATATATATATATATATATATATATGTGTGTGTGTGTGTGTCCATTTTCGTTTACTTTTTAAATGTATTTTAAATTTATGCATTCAATGTCAAAACATTTATTAATATTTATAATATAGCTAGTCTTTAGTTTAGTCCGTAACCCTAGTTTTGTCTTTTCTTATTGCTTAAAACAATGTTTAATAAAATAATAATTGATATTTGGTAATATTACAATAGTTAATTTATTAAAAAATAGTTACTTTTTATTGATAATGATGAATTAGAAAGTTTTTCCTTTTTTATTTATTAGGGTATTGTAAAGATGGTTAAGTTTAATAACATACAAAACGATCATGTTTTCCATATAAGTTTTATAAGAGAAAATATATTTAAGATATTTTCTTTGTTAAAAGAATAAAATTAACTATTATGTTGAGTTGCCTAACAATCCTGCACGGATAGTGAAGTTGGATTACGACTCGTAAGTTTTACTTTTTGAATGGATAAAACTTTAATTGAATATGATGTTAGATGTTCGTCCCTAATATGTCTCTTTCCATTAATATTTAATTGTGATAGAGTTATAATTTGAAATTTGGTTGCAATTAATTGTATTGCTTTATTTATTTTCATTTAATTTGTTCATAACACTCTTAACACGTTAGTTTATTTTATTTATTCTTATTTGCACTAATTTATTTATTTTTATATTTCTAATTCTTAAATGTAAATTTTATAAAAATTGATTTTATTTTAAATCAATTTAGATAATTTGAGTTAGTTTTACTATAATTATTATTTTTAACTACTCATAACACAAAACTTAATTATATTGAAAAATTAGAATTAATTTGATAGACTGCATTATCAATAATTAATTTATAAATCATACAACATTTTTTAAAATAATTTGAGGATGACAACTGTATTTCATCCATATAAAATTATTTTTAATTTCTTGTCAGATGTACTCATTATAAATATTAAATATTGATATAAATCAGTTAAAAATATTAAAAAAATTTAAATATGTTTATAATTTTTAAATAAAATTAATTTTTTTATTATTTTAAACTCTAATATATTTTAGTTTTTAAATTTTAAAATCAATAGATATAATATTTTAACTTAATATAGTAAAAAAGATTAATTGATATTTCATATTAATATTTGAGTTAAATATATCAAACAATATAAAATATTCAAATATCAACTTGAAAAGTAATTTGACATGTTAAACAATGTAACAACTATTATTTTTAAAACTTAAGGACAAATAAAAATTAAAATAAATTTTAATTTTATTTCAAAATTTAAAAATTAAAAATATATTTAAATCAAAAAATAAATAATTATGTCTACAATTAAAGAATTAGAATAAAAGACAGCTGAAAAAAAAATTCTTAAAACTTAAATTCTGTTTGAATATTTTAGTAAAAATAATAACATGGTTGGATTCATGAATTATAATATATTTTTTATATGAAATACTAATTCGTTTTCAATATGACCTTTTATAATAAAAAAATATTAATAAAAATTCAAATTACATACATCATATTTTTAGTTTACTTAGCTTAACATGAAATTTTATTATTTTTCTTACAAAAAAAAATTTCAAAAGTTACCGAATAATATTTATTTTCCGTAAAAACCCATCTTAAAGTTTCCACTTATTTCCTACTGTACTAAAAAATATTTGTAATTATAAAAAATAAATAAATTCATCAATAACTTTAAATTTATGAATAAATTTTATTCACAAATTTTATAATTTTATTTTATTAAGAAATGTTTTTATCATTAAAATTTGTTGATAAATTAAAATTTATATTATTAATAAATATTTTTATTAGTAATATATTTTATGACTAATTTCATCGATAAATTTGGTTAATAATTTGTAATTTTTATTATACATAAAAATTATTGATAAAATGAATTACAAAATCTGTTGATATTGGGTTAAATATGTTTTTAGTCCCTAAACTATCAGACGATTTTGTTTTTAGTCCCTGCTCAGAACTTTGATGGTTTTTAGTCCTTATAGTTTTGAAACTCTGAGTATTAGTCCTTAAAAATGGACGGTGTTAAGTTTTTGAAGATGTGGCAAACGGCGATGCCCACGTGATCACTGATCTCTGCCTTCACTCTCTACCACGTGGGATGTTTAACTGTTGAACTGAGATTAAGGGTTAAGCACTTCGTTGTCTTTTATATATGAGATTTGAAGAAGTTTGGTTGTTCTTCGTGGGTGCAGCTGAGGAGAAAGAACTTGGGTACATCTGAAGGTTGGAGTTGGTATTGTTGAGGTAAGTTTGTATGTTTTGGTTTTGGTCTTCTTCTTCTTCTGTTCTTCGTGTGAATATGACGATTTGGGATATAGGGTTTTTGTGGGCACCAAAGCTGATGAAGGGATTGTTTTCTTGTAGTGAAATGAAAGGTGACAGTGGAGGAAATGGTTGGACGCGAAGGTCAATTGGTTCGTCTAAGTCGCAAAGCTGTGGATCATCTTCACGGTTACCTTCTAAATTGTGTGGTTGTGGTGAAACATTGTTGGTTTTGAAGGCAACTACTGTGAAGAACAAAGGAAGATTGTTTTATAGATGTAGAAATTGGGCAGTAAGTGATTAAATATTTCATTTCATTTGCTGAATTTTGAATTAATCCTGTGTTGTTTTGATTGCAGAGTAATTCAAGTTGTAATTACTTTGAATGGCATGATGAAGGAGTTTCTGAAACTGAAGGAAGCTTTGAAAGAAAACGTGAAGAACTTCAAATGTGTTTGGAAAATGAAAAACTCGTATTGGATCTAAGGAAGAAGAACGACAAGTTGAAAAGGAAATTAGAAGAAGAGAAGAAAGTTGGAAAAATGATGTTGTTGTTGTTTATCTTGTCATGGGCGTTAACAATTTTCTTTTGTATTATGTTTTTGTTAAAGATGAATTGTAACTAAGAATTATGGTTGAATAAAATGAGGATTGTCTGGAAATTGTTTATGTTGTTGTTTGTTTTCCCTTTAACATTCCACTGTTACTGGTATATTCATTTATGTTAATAAAGAAAACAGTTCACAGCATAAGAAAGCACAGGCAGAGTATCTGTAAATGTGGACTTGGAATAAATAAAGTTAACTTGCCATTATGCAAAGATGGAATACAACTGGAAGTTTAGTGGTCCCTTTGAAAATGAAGTGNTACTCAAATAAATATTATTGATTTTCCATTGTAGAAATAAAATCCCGGAATATATTGACTGATTCATACCAAATAATATATTATTGAGACATTTCATAAAAAAACTCTTCCTCATAATTAGAAGAACAATAATATATAAACTCATGAAAAAAAATTATTATTATTATTTTCTCTTTATGAGGGGAATTGAGTTATAAGAGTTAATATTTTTTTCCCACAAAGAATAGAATATGAAAACTATCCCTGTGTTTTTTCGTCAATACTTGTTTGTGTATGCTCCAAAATCACATTATTTTGGAAAAAGAAATAAAGAGTTTGAAACTTTGATTTTGTTGTGGAGTTTTCTCTTAAAGAGATAACAATCACTACAAGAAATTTTTTAAATAATGAAAAATTTTAGTGGCTAAAAATAATTAGTCATTATAATGATCAATTTATATATTAATTTATAAATTAAAAGTTATTGGTAAATAGAATATTTTCTCTTTCGGTTGAATTTGTTCGAGAGTCGATCGTCTTTTTTTGCTCTGTCTTCTTTTGATCATCCAATCCTTTCTTCAAGTCAGATATCTTTTTCAAAGAGACTTTTATTTTATTAGGATAGATCAATGTTATTTTACCTGAACATCAATCGTATATTTACAGGGCTGTGGCAGTCAAATATATTGATTAACCATTAACACAATATATTTTTAGGCAATCAAATAATCAATTATTAGTACCTATATTTGTAACCTGACCTATTAGTATCTACTAATATATTTGGTAACTGCCCATAAATGACCATTAACTCTGATGGGTATATTTCATATAGTACATTTTCTATTATGAATAAAAAGTTATAATTGTTTCTAAATTGATAACTAAAATAGTTTATATTATGAATTAGTCATTAATACTAGTTGCCAAGGTTTTGACTACCAAATAAATTGGTCTCTAAATTGACCTTTAATTAGAAAACTAATATTTAAATTGCTCACTAAACATATTTTTGGCTACTTAAATTAGTCATTATTTAGTGATGAGTCCATCTTCGAGCTAGAACTCCATGCGTATGAAATCGAGGAATCCTTGGAAGTACGAAGGCACGAAAGCAAGTAAAAAGATAAGAGATAGTTTGGTGATGGTGATTTGGTGTAACTTGCAAGTGAGGTTAAGCCAACACTTAAGGAAGGAGGTTAGAGAAAGTCACTAAGGAGAACTGTAGCCTAGGTTAACTTACAAAAGGAGAGTAATTGGGAGTCATCAGAATAACTCTATTATATTCATGAATAATTTCACATAGTTTAGATTCCTCTATTTTATAGGAGAAAAGGAGTTAAAAAATGAGATGGAAATGTGATCTAGAAAATTGAATTTTAAGCCAAAAAGAGTGCATGCAAGCACCCAAGCAAATCACATATTCTTTGTCAAGTGATACCTAAGGAGAAGCTTGGTCTCCACAAGTTTGACATCAATAGGTAAAAAAACCCTAATTCTATGTGTCAGACTCGTGGCCCAATTTAAGCTTATTTCTTGGTCCAAAAACACATTGACAGTTGCTACCTGCACCACAACCGAACACTCCGTGCACCACCCTATAACTATTTTGCCCTTGCTCTAAAACGGATGTCAACATCCGTTTTACCTTCAACGGATATTGACATCCGTGAACGGATGTTAACATCCGTTTACATATTTTATATTTTGGTTTATTGTTTTTATTAAAAAAAAATCCTTCAATGGATGTAGTCACATCCGTTAACCACATCCGTTTTAATAAATTTTTTAAAAATATTTTGATTATTATTTAAATAATAATACATA